TTTTAAAAACTAATAAAAATCTTATGTACTATTCAATTTAAAAAAAGTAAAGATGCAGAACACTCAGTTTACTCTGGGAATACATTTGTCATATGGTACAGATGCAACTCTGTTAAAAATGTAGCAATAAGACAAGGTTATTTTATTCAGTAATATATAACATTTAATTAATTTGATTTTAAAAACAACACGAGTTAAAGCATCACAATTACCTGAAGGAGCAAGTAACTAATGAATTTCCTGAACATGAATGTTCTTTTGTGAAATTAAATGATTCTTGACAGTGTTTATGATGCTGTATTTTCTTTAGCCAGTAACACTAAGGAGTCACTTTGTAAGGACTGTAACTGTTATCAAGGACCATATAAGCAGCTCTGCCTCCAAGTTATTTATGGTTGTGGCCTTTCTTCAGGAGCTCATATCCCTGCAGCCTCCAGAGATGTCACTTTTGTTCTTCTCCTACTTGCTAAGGACTAGAGGTTCAGACCATTAGAGATTAATTAGATTTGTATAATGGTTTATTAGAAATGAAATGAACAAAAATTGATGTATACGAATAAAACCCCTAAAAATGATTCTAGTTATTAAAAATCAATTAATTTTTAAATTCCTGGTCTTACACCCACTGATGTACATTATAGCAAACTCATAGACTTTTGTAACTCTTACCGATTTTCTTTCCTAATCCTTAGGCTTTAAATTCCATTCTGTAGAAAAATTTCATGAAGGAGAGGAAGTAGAATAAAGCTCCTTGGAAAGTTAAAGGAGCTGTTACAAATGGACTGAGATGTTTTAAAATGTTAGAGGCTGTGTAGTGGGCAGCGACTCATGCATGTGGTGGTTCTTGACCACAAGCTGCTGAGTTTCCTGAGGGAAAAAGAGTGGCTCCCACAGACACATGCAGAAACAGGTGCAGTAAACACATGAAGGAATTAAGGGACACAGAGGCTTATTCAGGTAACTTCAGTCTCATGTTCCTAGTTAGCAGTTGAGTAATGGTTATTGACTACTTAACTATTGTTTTGCCTTTTACAATAAGTTAGAATTCAGCTTTTTTTTAACATACAAACTCCCAGTAGTCTAGCTCCCTCAATCTAACAGTCATTGAAATAATTGTGATAATAAATGAAGAAAAAAATATCAAAATCTCTGATGCCCACTATATTTAGTGTAGAGAGTTCTGAGTGTACATGGGAAGTCTCACAAATTTGATGATAGGAGATGAAAATCCCAAGTATATATTGTTAGTTCAGGTGGCACAAATGGG